GTCCGATTTGTTTTCGTTTTGTTCTTTTTGCAATACCATGAAACATGCAATTATGGTTGTTGTTCAAGAAAATGCAGCTTTCATTCATGGTTCGATTTATCAGGCCACAATGAACTCCTGAACTCGTTAAACAAGTGACGGTAATTAGATTATATATAATTACATACTTTGCATGCAGTTAAATTTTTTGTAAACCTCTTGCATCCTAACACCATCCCAAAATGAGTCGAGTGCTGTGACCAACAAGTCGTGTCTGATCTTTTGATAATTATTTAATTTTGAAATTGAGGTAAAAAGTTCATACAAGCCTATCAAAATTAATTTTAATTTAGTTTTCAAAGAATCTTTTGTTCAACTTAATTATTTAAATTTAGGGAAAATGTAGCCAACTTCTCTGAGCGAAGTAGCCGACGCTTTTTATCGGCCGTCGGTGCTTATTGAAAGCACTGAGTGATAATCCTTATTTCAGAATATCCTGGCTTTCAGTGTTAGGTTGGGGTCCTTATTTGTGTTAACTTCAGGTTTCTATTGTCCAACAGGCACAAAGAATGTTATAGTCAATATTTATTTAGTTTAATCCTGAATGTTCAGAATTATGCATGAACCCTCTCAGTCCCAGGAGTGGCCGAACAAGAACTTTCTCTTACAGTAACCATATTATTTCAAGTATGATATTCAGGTTTATTGAAAAATAATTATTTGACTTTTGTAATTACAACTTAAAGGTTTTTCCTCCTGTATTTGTTTCAAGGGCTCATCTTGCGCATTTTGTGAAAGCATTCTACGTCATGAGGGTCTTAAAACAGGATTCTATAGGTAAAATGAATACGGGTGCAAATTCTTGATGTTGACTTTAAACAAAGGAGAAATATACAAGGACCAAGAACTTGCAGGTCTGCATGGTAAAGGAAAATTAATTTGTGGCTTTGGCTGTGATGTTAACAGCTGTAAGACTCAAGTGGGGCTTAAGGGTTATATTTGGTCAGTTTTTATCTGCCAGTAAAGTTAGGTTAATATGTTTGCTTTCTACTATTATATTTATACCCATTGTAGCTTCACCGTACAAAGACCATGATGATAGATAGATAGTTTATTAGAATATCGAACATGGCAGTCCGCAGACTGAATTGCGTTACAATTACTTAGAACTAGGAATAAATACAATTGAAATTATAATAAAACCACATAACATTTTCACTGGCACTAGCATTAAAGTTATGATTCCTTTGCATTTTGTTTTTATTAGTGCTGAACAATACAGTTTA